AACAAAGTAAAGGGTATCATCGATTTAAAAAAGAGACAATTTAAATTTACTTGGAAAAACAAATCTTATATTTTACCTATTACATGTTGGGAAAAGCTACAATATAATAATAGTGAGCCTATTCCTTTAAAAATTCCTTCTGAGTCTAATGACTCAAATAATCAAACTTTAGTTGTTAAAACTAATAAATATAGTGAGGATGAATATGAATCATCTGATGATGAACTGGAGAAATTCAAAGGATTTTTAGTTATAGGAAATTTTGATGAAAACCTATACTTAAATCAATAATACCCAAGTTAAATACTAAAATAAATCTTTTGATAACTATAACTTTCATTCTAAGCAAGCTAGTGATCCTCGAACTATTAAATATTATTGTATTCAGCCACAAAAAATATGTCCAAAATGTATACAAGTGAGGGAAGCAATAAGTTGTTTTACTATCAAGGAGGACTTTGAGGAAACAAATTTGTCTTTTGAAAATAATTTACAATTACAATAATTTTTAACTGAAAATAACTATATGTTCTCTAAGGGAATAAATGATTTAGACAAAACAACTATGGACCAATATCAAATTATTACTGAAAATATTCTACCTATTTATCAAAAAGCCTACTGTATGTCACTAGCTAAACATAAATTTATTCAACAGGAACTCTCTTTAATGCTTGAAAATAGGCTTATATCTCCATCAAAAAGCTCATGTGCCTCTTCTGTTGTTTTAATAAAAAAGAAAAATAGTAAATTAAGGCTCTGTATTGACTACAGGAAGCTTAACAAAATTACTAAACAAGATATTTATCCTTTACCACAAATTGATAAAATTCTGGATACTCTTAAAGGTGCTAAATAGTTCACTACTCTTGATTTAGCTAGCAGATATTGGCAAATTGAAATGAAGCCTAAGGATCATGAAAAAATTGTCTTTATTACCAAATATAGGTTGTTTGAATTTAATGTTATGCCTTTTGGTTTAACAAATACACATACTACTTTTCAACAAGGTATAGATAAAATCTTTTCTAATCTTAAAAACAAATTTATTTTAGTATATCTTGATGATATTACTATCTATTCAAAAACTTTTGAGGAGCATTTGAAGCATCTCAAGAAGGTTTTTAAACGTCTTCAAAATGCTGGACTAAAATTAAAAAAGGATAAATATTGTTTTGGAAAACAACAATTAGCCTTTTTAGGATATATTATTAGTGAAAATGGTGTTGCTCCTGATTCATCAAAAATTGATAAAGTTCAAAACTAACCCTGTACCCATAATCTTACTGAACTTTGTAGATTTATTGGCCTAGCTTCTTATTATCAAAAGTTTATTTTAAACTTTTCACGAATTGTTGAACCTTTAAACAAGTTGTTAAAAAAGGATACTCCTTTTGTTTGGACTAAAACTTGCCAACAAGCAATAGATATTCTTAAGAAAAAATTGACAACTGCATCTATTCTTCAATACCCTAATTTTACAAAACCTTTTATTCTTTATACTGATACTTCATATCAAAGTTTAGATACTATTCTTGCTCAAAAGGATAATAACAACTATGAGCATATAATTGCTTATGCTAGCAGGTCTTTAAATTCTGCTGAAATCAATTATTCTCTAACTGAAATTGAATGTCTTGCTGCAGTATGGGAAATAGAATATTTTCAACCTTATATTTATCTCAAATCTTTTAAACTTATTATGGATCACTCTGCTTTATATTGGCTATTAAACTAATTTAACCCTAACAAACGAGTAACTCGATGGATTCAACAGATTGCTGATTACTCTACACAGTTATACATCGTAAAGGACAAGTTCATTCTAATGTAGATGCCCTTTCTCGTCTTTCTAGAAAGCCACCTAAGGAAAATATTAAAAAGCTTTAACCAAAATGGAATTTACACTTTACCACAACTTTTTTAACTATTTAACAACTTCGAAATTACTCTCAAACTTGAATCTAAAGGAACAATAACAATTTAAAAAACAAGCAACACACTATATTATT